GGGGGGGGGGGGTACAAAATAATTCAATTCCATTTAGGGCGTCAAAGAGAGAATATCGCGAATTATTTGGTTTTTGATTAAAAATGTTTATAAAATTTTGTGTACTGTGCTATTTTGTTGAGCTAAATAAGTGCTTTGCCTTACTAAATTGGTAGCCGATTATATCTATACAATGAAGATGATATTTATTACTAATGCTTTGATCACTCACAATCATTATTCGATTAAATGTTTACAAATAAACAAAGATAACCTGTTATTTGACAACTTCTCTTTGTTGAAATGTTGAAGTGTTTTTGCTGTTTAAAAGCTTGGTACAGTTCAAAATTAAAATTAGAATTATTGTATTGATATATGCGAGGCCGACTATACATATTTACATATTGTATGTTAATGTTAAATTTTATGTGTTTATGTTATAATGTTTTTATACATTTTTTATGTATTATATGTTAATATGGATTAAACATGCTTTATAGGTATTGCATATATGCATGTACATGTACTATGTATGTCTATAAATGTTTGTGTTGATATCTATGTTAACGTGTTTATGTTTTATGTATGTACAATATATGAAAGTAAACGTGTTTATGTTTCTATGTATGTACAATATATGAAAAACGTGTTTATGTTTCTATGTATGTACAATATATGAATGTAAACGTGTTTATGTATGTACAATATATGAAAGTAAACGTGTTTATGTTTCTATGTATGTACAATATATGAATGTATACGTGTTTATGCTTCTATGTATTTACAATATATGAATGTAAACGTGTTTATGCTTCTATGAATGTACAATATATGAATGTACACGTGTTTATGCTTCTATGTATGTACAATATATGAATGTAAACGTATTTATGTTTCTATGTATGTACAATATATGAAAGTAAACGTGTTTATGTTTCTATGTATGTACAATATATGAATGTAAACGTGTTTATGCTTCTATGAATGTACAATATATGAATGTATACGTGTTTATGTTTCTATGTATGTACAATATATGAATGTAAACGTGTTTATGTTTCTATGTATGTACAATATATGAATGTGTACGTGTTTATATTTTTATGTCCTGTACTGTATGTCTATGAGTATTGGCGTTAATATCTATGTAAATGTGTTTAGGAATGGTTGTGACTTTCTAATATCTCGCATTTTTCTCCCATTTTTCATGCTTTCTCAGCCAGCTAGACAAGATTAAAGTAAATTCAAGAAATTCAAAGTTTTTTCACTTTTGTGTTTTTATAAATTTCAACTTTTTGTACCCAATCACATATACTTTTTTTGGGGGGGGGGAGATGGGATGTAGGGTTTCCGACGCACTGTTGCGCGCAATTGCAAGCCCTTGCGCGGAAGTGAATTTTTTTTTGCGTAATTCCGTAATAATTGGGCACAATAAACCCAAAGGAATTTCGCGCAATTCCGTTCAAATTTCTTGGTTTTGTGTTTCAATTTTTTGATGATATTCAATTTAAACCCTTTGGCGCGCAATAAATGCAATTAATTATTGCGCAATTCCTTTCAACAACAAAAAAATTCAATTTAAACTTTGGTAGTGGCATACAATAAACTGAACTGCATTAAGATTTCAGTCTCAAATGCTGAGAAAATTGAATTCAAACTTTACCCTTGTTTTATAATTTTCATTTGCACTTTGCAGCATGCTAACCAGAAATCTCTGGCTTAGGAAGACTCAAGCAGACTCATGTAACTGAATAAGTGATTTAATAGGTTACTAATTAATTTTTTTTGTTTGCTTTGTAACGACATCAAAAATACTCTGTGATGTTGTTTTTCTGTACCTTAGTTTTCTGGTTCTCACTGTAGCAAAATATCTAATTTTGATTAAACGAACCTCACAATTTTAACCAAAAAAAGGTTTCATTTTAATGTTCATCCAATGTGAACAAATGAAAAATGTATCATTTTAAATTGTTAATTAGTAGCCTAACCACACGAAACTTAAAACTAAGATAACTGTTGAAACAAGTGAAACTCGGGCCTCGATTATTTTAAAATCTACAGAGATATATCCATTCTTGTATCTGCTGCATAAATTTGTAAGTCAAACAGTTAAAATTATTGATTTTTAGATGAAAAAGCAATTCCATTGCACGCAATTCCTGCAAAATTCCGCGAATATTTATTTGCTCCCTTTTTCGCAATTATAGCGCAATGGCGCGCAATGAAATGGCGCAAGCGGAAGCAACCATTGCGCAGCAGGTCACTTATAAATATAAAGAGATTTCCCTGTTCACAACAGCACCAAAAAGTCCTTAGTGGGATTAACGGTATTTCCTTTTCTGCTAAATTCATGTCACTTTTAGAGAAAACCACAATTGAAAATAATTAATTTTTGTGTAGAAAACCGGGGAACACTTACAAATTTTTGCGCAGTGTAACGTTTTTACAGTGTACCGTACATAAACGTACGTCCTCAAGCTCTCAAGCAAAAATCGATGAGAATTTTGCCAATTACTTCTAAAAACCAAAGTTAACAACATTATAGTGCTAAAATGTGCATGTAAAGGGCTACAAAAAAAGAATATGTGAGTTAGAGCGCTAAAATCAAAGCCAAAGGCGTTGCGACGCTTCAAAGTCAACCCTATCTTAAAAATTAAGGAAACTTTATATAAGCTGCAGAGCTGAATCTATGTACGTTAACGTTTTTGTTTTGCTTGTTACATTATTGCAGAACCTTTAAGTTTTTTTTTTAAATTTTAAGTTTTAGATATTAGCGCGTTTTGTGTCCATAATTCTGGTAGTAATTTAACTTAACAAACTTTCCGAATTTTTATTTGTTAACGCAAAAGTTTTCAAAAAATTTGTGAACCGTAACGTTTTACTCTACTTTTATTGTATGCGAAAAAAAGCATAGAGAAAAGTCAATTATACAATGAGAACCATGAAATTCTGGAAAAGGAAGACGACATTAAGCAATCGTGAATTTTATCTCATGTTGTTACAAGTCTTACTACAGGGAGAATGTGAAAACTCTGAAATAGGAATTCAAATTTTAAACTCAAGGGACACAACAGTTGTGCAGTGTAAACA